GGGTGCAGGTGCCTGATGAGGCGGGGATGGCCGTGTTGCCTTAGTGGACAGAATGAGGACGGCACATTGTAACCAAGGCCAGGCAGGGTTGGGGTGCTGGGGGCGGGGTTCGGCTGCTCTCCACCAGCACTGATTCAGGCTGGAACCTCAGCCTCTCAGAGGCCAGCGCTGTCCCCAAGCCCTTGTTCCCCAGGACCCCAGGACAAAGATGCCACTGGCTAGGAGACCTGGGCAGAACTGAGCTAGGATGGCACCCGGATGTCTCTTCAGGGTGACGTGCCTGTCCCTGCAGTGCCAGTTACGGCATGGCCGGTCGCCCGCTGCATGTGACACTCACCTGTATTCTTTGTCAGTTGCACACGCTTGCAGCTAGAGAGTGGTGAAGGCTGGATGTGTCCTCGAGAAACAAATTTGGCAGCAGGAAGTGAGTTCCTAACAGCATCAGGAGCAGAGAAACCTCCAGGAGACTTCCGGCCAGTGTGGGCCCCTTGTCCAGGCTGCTGCAGACAGCTGGCAGACCAAACGCTACGTGTCAGTCAGTGCGGGGCCGGAAACTCTGCCCCCAGCGAGGCTGGGGACTGCTTTGTGTACCTGCTCGTTTTCAGGTGGATGGAGCAGCTGTGAGTGAGGACGGGGACACGGGCTGTGGGCCCTGTGAGTACCTCAGCCTGGTCACCACCTCAAGCCAGGCCTGTGTGGTATCCAGGGTCTGTGACTGGTGGCTGGAATGGGATGGCACCGGTGTGGGCTTCTCACTGCAGCTGGGCAGGTGCTGCAGGAAAGCACGTCCCTCGTCTTGGATGCTTCGCCAGGGAAGCAAGCAACTCCCGGCGCCCAGCTCACCCCCAGCAAAGCAGGGGCCTGGCGGAGCCCAGGGGGTGGAACCCGCGACACGGGGCCGTGTGGCCTTTGGTGCCACGTCACCTCTGAATCGGCTTCCCTTTGGTGAAAGGGGTGCTTCCGCATGTCCTTCCAGGGGATCTCCAAGTGTGTTTATGACAGCAGGGACCCCCCCTCCCTCGTGTGAGTTTGGGGACAGTGCCAGCCCCCTTCCCAGCCCTCGACTCCAGCCCGCAATCTCCAGTGGGGAAGCTGGAGAAGCCCCACACTCACCACTGCGCCAGCCTCCCAGCCCCCTGTGCCCACTCTGCGGGCTCCCGGGCAGAACCCTTCTGGCCTTTTCCAGCCACTCCTGGCCCCTGGCAGTGCTTGCCTGTGGCTCCCTCCCTGCCGGCCTCTGTGTCTGTGATGTCACTGTCCGCCTCTATGCCACACATGCCTGTAGTCCGGCAAGTTCGCCCTTGAGACCCTAACCTCAGTGGCACCCACAAAGACCCCTTTCCCAAGCAAGTCACTGAGGTGTAGGACGTGGATGTGGCTTAGGAGGAGCCACAGTTTAACCCACCAAACCTCGAGGGAGGGTGGGAAGAAGGAGGGGAACCACCTTGACTGTTCTGTTAAAGTCATTTGCAAGCAAGGTAAGAGGTGAGCTGGGGCCTGCTGCCCACCCTCGCAGTGCACACTTCAGAGAACGGGCTCTACCCAGCTTTGCTGGGGTCATAGGTTCGGTAAGCAGGCAATTGCCATGACACAGCATTACGGGGCCTCTGAAAAATCTACTAGAGGGGCTGGGATTCAGCTCAGCGGTGCCGCCGCCTGCCTCACAAGAGTAAGGTCCCAAATTCAATCCCCAGTACAAAAAAAGAAAAGAAAAACTTACTAGAGGATGGATTTCTTTCCTTTTCCACGACAGACCCTGTCTCAAAAAAAAAAAGCAAACAAACGAAAAAGCTTTTCATACAACTCTAAAGTTACCTCCAATGCCTCTCTTGCCGGCCAGGCTTTCTCCTTGTGGGTGGGGTCC